GATTTCTGCCTTTCCGCATATAAAGTCGTAAATTTTATATAATTTTTATTTTTTACAACTGTAAAATATTACAGGCTGACCCTGCGGTATCGCCGAATTTTGAGACCGAAAGAATAATTATAGATTTGTTTAGAATTAAGGACTGAGACTCTTTCCATTTAAGATAAACCCATTTTACTATGAAATTATGATATTAGAAAGACATTCATAAAATATTAATCAATTCAAAGACAAATTAAAATTGAAACTTCAATGCTGCATTCATTGCCTATTATATGCTTGGCTACTATATGTATGCTCTCTGTACTAACTTTACACATGACTATAAAGAAATTACAATTTTACCTTTTTTAGGACAAAGAAAATTGTAAGTGTAACTCGTAAAATGGTTCATTCCCATTACGAATCAACAGAAGAGGTCATCAAACAGAAATAAAAACAATTTACTTTCAACAGCTTTCACAATCAAGAGCAGCAAAATAAAAGCGCTCAACAGAGCAGCAAAATAACAGCGCTCAACAGAGCGGCAAGATAACAGCACTCAGAAGAGTAGCAAAATAAGAGCACTCAACAGAGCAGAAAAATAACAGCACTCAACAGAGCAGCAAAATAACAGAACTCAGAAGAGCAGCAAAAAAAACAGCGCTCAACAGAGCAGCAAAAAAACAGCGCTCAACAGAGCAGCAAAATAACAGCGCTCAACAGAGCAGCAAAATAACAGCGCTCAACAGAGCGGCAAGATAACAGCACTCAGAAGAGCAGCAAAATAAGAGCGCTCCACAGAGCAGCAAAATAACAGCACTCAACAGAGCAGCAAAATAACAGCACTCAACAGAGCAGCCACAGAGCACCGAACGAAAAAAAGATCGCCAGTTTGCTGTTTCCGATCGCCGGCTAACAGAAGATAACAGAGAAGCTTTTCTAGGTCTTCGTGGATTTAATGAAGATAATTTATGCTTTTATTATAAGGTTCAATTAATTATACTAAAATCCTATCAAGCTTAGTTAATAACGGTTTCATTATATGAAATAATAATAATGTTTTAATCATTACCATAATATTATCAGGAACATATAAAAATTTGATTTATTATTATAGTATACAATATCTCAAACTTCGTGTAAAATTTTAGAAAAAGCACATGGCGATGAACGTCCATTGGCCTCTAGATGGAGTTTCGTCGCAAATCGCAATAAACATAAACAAAAAAATTGTAACTCAGTACACACTGCAGTGAGTGACAGAGAGCGCATTTTCTCGTCGACGAAAACGTGAAGTCACGATAATGGGATCAGTGCTTAATTAAGGGATTTATCGGTATTTTTCTATGTTATAGCTTTATTTTTAATTACTTTGTTAGATTAGAAAAATTTTGTTTTAGTTTATAAAATTTTTTTTTCTAAAAGGTTATTTTGCCGCTTCGTAATACTTTATTATCCCCACCCTTTATGAACCATCAATTATTAGTCATTTAAATATTACCCAAGTACATAAACAATTTTAACTTCATTGATGCATTATCAGCATTGGTAATGACGTATTATGAAGGCCATAATATCTACGTCAAAATACAGTTAACCAATTATTGATATTTAAGACAACTTAAATTATTCCTTGCTCACTGGGCTTCAATCTTAATCTAATTAGTGCGAGTTTATACATTATTTCTTCAATTAAGTATATTTATATCATCGTAATTTTCCGTGCCATATAATTTTGACGTATGTTTGGCCTGAACCTGATCATGTTATACTGCTGCAACTGTCACAACATTTAATTTCTATCTTATTCCATTCACAACAGCTGAAAATTTCGGCTCAAAGATGAACATCAACGCAAGATGAAATTTTCATGTTGATGTTGCATCGCAAGTTGTTGCCTTCGCAATGAAAAATGCGCAGCGAAAATACAAGTAGATTAGCTCTATTCAATTCTGGCAATAGATGCGAATATTTTCTTTAGTTTTTATCTGAAACATTTGAAGTTGATTAAAAACAAACCATGAATATTACTTAATTTACTACGTCAAAGCCGTCAAACGTCTATTTCGTAAAATCAATGAATCAATGGATAAACTACCGAAATAATTCCGTCTTAAAACATTTCTTTTATTCTTTGGCGCAAGAAATTGAATTACATATTACATGTAGATATTAACTTGAAGTGAAGCATCTAATTGAAAATTGAATGTGAAGTTGATTGCTTCAAAATTTGCTTGATTGCAAGTTTTTATAAATTTTCAATTGAATTTGATTCCTTTCATTTCTAGTTCAAATAATTGTAAACAACAAATTAAATTTATTCAAAAATCAAATGTAACGACACTTATCGCCTAAGTATGACAAGAATTTCATTTATGAGCATTTTTTGAGGTATATCAAAATAGTGGTAGGGTAACATGGGGCAGCGAGCCCACTGCGGGTCACGGGCCCATAGCGGGTTTCTCGCTAAGTATGGCAGATATTGGTCCGTGTTCTCTACCGCCGGTCGACAGTTTCACTGGGATGAAGTGTACGGATTTACTTTTTTTAAGTGTTTGCGTTATTAAGTTATTTGTGAATAACTATTTTAGTCCAGATAAAAATTTTTTTGCTGCTAAATAAAATTTTTTACGATTGCCGTAGATGAAGCTTTTGAAATTACTGTGAATTATATTTTCAAAGTAATATTTATAGGGATAATTTTGAGATCAAGTTTAGACTATTAGCTTTTAAAATAAAATGTTGACACGATATAAAATGTTGACACGATATATGATACCTAGTGAGGCAACGGGCCCACGCGTGTCACGGGGCAAAGCGCCCATGGTGAAGTCTCGTGTTATACATCATTTGATTTGTCTCAATGACCTTTTCAAACTATGACTAGCTTTTTGAATTACAAATTACACTTCATTTTGCATGATTTTTTGATTTGCCGCCTCAAGGCAGCAGGCTTAGTTTCTAAATATGCGTATTTATGCCCCTTATCGAGTTATTGACTCTTGCCTTCCCAAAAGTTGACTTCAGTCAACACCAATGAGCCAAAAGTTGATGAGAGTTTTTATGGTGTTGGCTGAAATCACGATTAGGTACGAATTCTCTGCACATAATATCTGGATTATGGACGAAACTGAAATGAAGTTTTTTTCTGTTCAACTAAATATATTTTTCTAGTCAAGGATACATTTTTTCATGTCAAGGATGAATTTTTTATCGCAAGGATATATTTTTTAAGTCAAGGATATATATTTTTATGTCAATGATATATTTTTATTCACGTCAGTGATAGATTTTTTAAGCCAAGAGTATATTTTTTTCAAGTTAAGGATATGATTTTTTGAGTTGTTAATAAATGAATGAATGTTATATTTCTTATTACATTTTTATTATTTTTAACTGTAAAGTGTTGTTTTATCATTTTTAAACGAAAAATATGTAATTGTGGTAAAGGGCCCAAGGGTGGGCGCCTTGCCCCTAGCTTATGGGCCCATTGCCCCAGGGATTGGGCAAAGGGCGCATTTTGACACTTTTTACAAAATAGCGTTTAATTAAAAACTGAATAACTCTATAGGCGTCTAGTTCACATCATGTATTCCTCATTAGTTGTACTTTTAAACAAAACAAAGAGCCACCTCGTATCAATTAGAACTTCATCAAAAATTTAGTTTAAAAAGGGGGGGGGGCTCTATGCCAGAGTTATTCCACTAACGTTATTCTTATATCAAAAATCTCATTGCTGCACAACTAATTTTTAGTGTTCGAAAAGGATTATTGTTTCTCGGGATTTTGAATTTCATCCGTCCCCGTATTGACTCCCGATGTTTTCATACCATGCACAAATTTTTTTGAAATATCACTATTTGGTTATTTTTTGGCTTAGAACAATAAAATCAGCCTTATAATTGTTGTAGTTGAAGTATTATCACAATTAACGCATGTGTACTAGTGCGCCTTTTAAGGAAATTTACCTCTCTTTTTTTTCAGACCAGTTTTTTCATCAACATCCAATAAGCACAACCGAATTTTCATTAAAATATTTATATAAATTCCTTTTCTCATTTCATTTAGCTCCTTACTTCAAATATTTTGTTTAACATCGATGTAATTTTGTCCATTACAATTGATAATTATTTTTAATTCAATGCTCAACTTCGCAGGACGACATGGTCGTGCAGCTCCCATTTCGTTTATCTGTGGATTTCTGGTCGTTTCTCCCATGGTTGAATTAATACATGTATTAATTCAACCATGGTTTCTCCCATCTGATGCCAAGTAGCGATGTGGTATCCCGATCTCTGTGCGGACTCTGTATCTCATTACTTCGAACTTGGTGCCGTTGAACTGCATGTTGTTCACTAGGCATTTCTAGGCACTAGCATATTGTTCACTAGGCAGTTCTAGGCACTTCATTTAGCTCCTTGCTTTGTATATTTTGTTTAACATGGATGTTATGTTGTCCATTACAATTGATGATTATTTTTAATTCAATGCTCAACTTCTCAGGACGACATGGTCGTGCAGCTCCCATTTCGTTTCTCTGTGGATTTCTGGTCGTTTCTCCCATTTGACGCAAAGTAGCGATGTGGTATCCCGGTCTCCGCGCAAACTCTGTATCTCATTACTTCGAGCTTCGTGCCGTTGAACTGCACGTTGTTCACTAGGCAGTTCTAGGCACTAGCATGTTGCTCACTAGGCAGTTCTAGGCACTAGCATATTGTTCACTAGGCAGTTCTAGGCACTAGCATGTCTGTCTCTTATACACATCTAGATGTGTTCACTAGGCAGTTCTAGGCACTAGCATATTGTTCACTAGGCAGTTCTAGGCACTAGCATGTTGTTCACTTGGGCCCAATCTTAAATTATCGACAAGTCGTCCTGTAACCTCTCGCAGTCTGGGCCATCTGAGTGCAAGCGCCATGTAATTCCTGGCCAATTGGTCTGATTAGCGGAGCGATCCTGCGGCGTCGCGGTGATCGCCTCCCGAGACCCTCGTAATAGTTGAACAGGTCTCGCTATAGTCAATGGTCTCGTGTGAGGGTCTCGTGTGAGGGTCTCGTGTGAGGGTCTCGTGTGAGGATCTCTTGTGAGGGTCTCTTGTGAGGGTTTCGTGTGAGGGTCTCGTGTGAGGGTCTCTTGTGAGGGTCTCTTGTGAGAGTCTCGTGTGAGGGCCTCGTGTGAGGGTCTCGTGTGAGGGTTTCGTGTGAGGGCCTCGTGTGAGGGTCTCGTGTGAGGGTTTCGTGTGAGGGTCTAGTGTGAGGGTCTCGTGTGAGGGTCTCGTGTGAGGGTCTCGTGTGAGGATCTCTTGTGAGGATCTCGTGTGAGGGTCTAGTGTGAGGGTCTAGTGTGAGGGTCTCGTGTGAGGGTCTCGTGTGAGGGTCTCGTGTGAGGGTCT